TCCTCAATACAACTGAACTTGCGTTGACCAAATCAACTTGACTAAACCCAGCAACCAGTCTTATAAGGTAAGATCCCCAGGTCTGTCAGGGGCATTTCCATGAAAATGATGTGGGTTTGTTAAGTCAAGTATACCTATCGCAGGTATGAAACAATTAGGTGCTCAGACTGCGTTAGTAAAAAATTATAGGTGAAACAGTTTTCAAAAATTTTACACATATGCTTCGTTATACAAGTTATTTTTCTTATAAATTTTTTAAAAATTCTAGTGCATTTGATCTCTAAGTGTAATATATCTCGTTCGATTTGTGTGTTCTCTGTGCTTTCTTTATACCACCTTGGATCTCGACTATTAACTATATGTATTCTGTATCTTTGTATCTTTATACTTTCTTCTTCAGGTCTCTGTAATCACTATTTCTTTGTTTTTCTGACATCCATCTCTCTTGTATTCTTGTATTCGTTCGCTCTTTCGACGTATAACTAGACCACTATAGTCGAAATAAATTATGTGATAGCCTTCACGATTTCTAATCTGATATATACCAGTGTTTCAACATAAATATGATAAATGTTAACAATACTCTTGACATGTTTAACAATCTGTTGCGTTAGAAACATTCAGAAACTACTCAAACTGATCCATCGTCCAAAGATTATGAGCTGGCGGATCAATTGTTTTTGTTGTTTAACCAACTATTAACTTCAACAGCACTGCTAGTCGACCATATTGTAACATTATATTTCGATCAATATGACGATTGCAGTAATAATTATCAAGAGGAAGATAAAAATGATATTGCATTGAACATTGATGGCATAAAATATTTCTTTCACACAATGTGTGCCACCGTCGAATTTTCAAAAACCTATACTTTCTCCACATTAAATAGGCGATATAGGCAAGTAAAACATAAAGAACAGTTGCGCCACATGAAGTAATACGTTAATGCTCTAGGTACATAAACACAAAAACTCCAACGTGTCGATGACTTTGTCTATACAGAATTTATTCGTACTCGAGAACGCTGTTTACCAATACACGATTTCGATTTAAGGCGCTTGACTATCAAAAAAGCACAGGATTTAAATATTGTTGGTTTTACGACATCTTATCATTGGATATTAAACTTCAAATGCCGCTACCACATTTCATCAAGAAAAATGACAAAGCTGATAACGATAAATCATTGGGAAGATCAAGATAAAATATTGAAATCTGCCGAAATTTTTTTTAAATCAGTGAGACACACCATTTCAGATTATGCCGAAGATCATATATTACACAGTGATCAAAACAATTTCAGGTGTAGCATTCACGAATGAAAGGAAATGAAATAGAAAAACATATTTTTGATGTTTCAGTTATGACAATAAATCAACACGGACGCTAGCAACACGCGACGAAAAAATAATAAAAGGCCAGGTCAAGTCAATGAATGCTGTTACACATTCATACACGATTATGCCGCTAATTAGTATAGCTGGAAAAATAATTGGTCGGGTTTTTGTATGTTTACAAGAGCCTACAGAAGAAATTGGACCGTATGTAAAACAATCAATTTATCAAGCGGGCAATATTCATGTTGCATGCAGCTATTTTGGAAAATTAACTGAAACACATATTCAGTATTGGACTAAGAATGTTTTAAGTTCATCGATATCCGAAGATGGTTTACTGCTGCTTGACTCTTGGCCTGGTCAGACTGACTCTTGCATTTTTGATGATATTTTCGTTGAAAATATCACTTGTAAGCAAATGCAAATTGCAGAAAAAGTAACCGGTGATATTCAGCCGTTGGATTGTTATTTTTTTCGTTAATGAAAATATTTTAAACAAAAAACTTATGATCGCGTAGCCATTGATCAAATGAACATTGGCATCTATCCTAGAAACTGCATTTTAAAAATACAGTCTTTGATACATAATCAATTGACAGCTAAAAGATTCTCATCTTTAATCATATATGCTTGGTATTCAAGTGGCTATATCTCAAAGATTCTGGTCATTTTGCAAGGGGCGAAAAAGCATACTACTGTACCTCTTGTACAGGGTGTCCCAAAAGTCATGATCACTTAAGAAATTCATTTATCTCTCTTATTCATCAAGCAATATCATTAATATTTTTTTATTTTATAGAGGAGAATAGTAAGTTTTTTTTTTGCATATGAATGAAGTTCATAAATACTGTTCAAAAATATTGTCTTTGACATCAATACAAAAATTTAGATGTTTTACAGTTTCTAAAAA